TTATTTCGTTACCCCCACCGACGCAGCCCCAAACAGTTTCTTTGGAAACTATCATCCTTTACCAATTTCCCTTAAGTTTGACCTCATTTTTTCCAGTCATTTGCTAGCGGCAACTCCTAAAAGACGGAACGGTGGAAAATTACCCTAAAACCTAAAAGACGGAATTGTAGGCTGGTCAAGGGATTAAGAGAGCCAAATAAAAATCAACTGTACCCACACTAATTTCCCCTTAGGAGGATAACTTCTGCCGACCAAGTTAAGTCAATACCAGAAAAAATTATCTTTGCTCGTAATAATGTGTAATATCATGCTGTAGATGTTCGGTTTGTTTCTCATTCATTGCCTAACAATCTTTAATTCTTCTTTAATCTTTAAGTCTTTATTGAATATACAAGTAAAAATACATACCTATATTTACATTTTTAAATTATTAATTAAAAAGTTAAAAAGCGGAAGCATATTTCAAATACAGTCTATTAATATAACTAGCTTTGAAACGTTCTGTGTTGACACAAGGTAGTAGGCTTGTTTGAGTTCTCAAACGTTTGGAAGATTCTTTAACTTTGGGCAACAAATTGTACAGCGGATGAGTAGGCAGGCAGCTAATCCTCTTTGAGATTGACCCATCTGTTTTCTCAAGCAAATCATATATATCTATAGCATAGGATATAAAACTGCGTTTATGACATCTACGAAGGAACCGCTGCACAGTATTAAGAACATGGTTAATCAAGGGTAGATGGGGGTAAACATGGTAGCACATGGTTAACCAAGGGTAGATGGGAGTAAACGAGGTAGAAAATGGCTAACCAAGGGTAGATGAGGGTGAACGTGGTAAAATATGGTTAAACAAGGGTAGATGGGGGTAAGCGTGGTAGAACGTGGGTTACCTAGGGTAGATGAGGGTGAACGTGGTAGAACATGGTTAATCAAGGGTAGATGGGGGTAAACGTGGTACAACATGGTTAACCAAAGGTAGATGGAGGTAAACGTGGTAGAACATGGCTAACTTTGGGTAGATGAGGGTTAACGTGGTAGAACATGGCTAACTTAGGGTAGATGAGGGTTAACGTTGTAGAGCATGGTTAATCAAGGGCAGATGGGGGTAAACGTGGTAGAACATGGCTAACCTACTGTAGACGAGGGTTAACGCGGTAGAACACGGCTAACCGAGGGTAGATGAGGGTTAACGTGGTAGAACATGGTTAATCAAGGGTAGATGGCGGTAAACGTTTTAGAACATGGGTTACCTAGGGTAGATGGGGGTAAACTGGGTAGAACATGGGTAACTCAAAGAAGATGAAGGTAATTGATCAGAACAAGGTTAGCTAGGACATATCGTGCAACATACATGAACGTTATATTACTTAGTATCAATGGATATTAGTGATTGGGACGTGACATGGACCTAATATGAACGCTTTAGATCATCAGCCTACTGGTATGTCGGCTGATGATGTCCTTAGCTGAGAGATTGTCCTCAAAATTTCATATTTGCTCTCGAAGCTTCGCTTCTTGGCCAAATTTTCATTTTTCGGACAGTCTCTCAGCCGCGGACATTATCAGTTGACATACCAGCCGCCCGAAGGGGTTTATTTACTAATTATCTAAATGAATAATGAAATTAACGTGCGCACGCTTTGCACCGGAGTTTAGACGAGCGAGCCAATGACAAGGGAGCGATCTCACGACCTTTGTCAGACACGTCTGCTAAGGCGTCGGGTAGTATTCTCTATTTTTACGAGCGCATGAACGCCCAAAGATGCAAGAGTAGTTTTTTATGCAAGGCTATGCAAGTTATTGAGTAGGTCAGGCGGGGGATTGTCTGCTATATTTTAGTATTGTTACACGACATATCTAATTGCTGACTAAAAGGATCGCAGCCTTCCAGACAAGCTCTGTCTCGGACCAGGCTAGTCTCGGACGTCTCGGACAACGACCAACGACTCAAGAACTCACCTGACTCTCACCTGAAGAAGATCGGAACCAAGAGGAACTAGAGGACCACACGAGGAAAGGTATTAAAACCATGTCTCAAGGATTATATAACAGATTTATACCACAGGATCACGGTTTGCCTGAAACGTTTCGGTTGTTAAACTACACCAAACTCAAAGGATGAGGATGCAAAGTCCCTCAGGAGCAACTGCTCAAGCTCCTTGAGGGACTTGATCACAAGAGAGGAGAAGGAAAAATCGGTGTTGGAATGGACAGTTGTGTTCTTCCCACAAGGCATAAGGGATTAAGTCTTGTTCAGACCACGGATTTCTTCTACCCTCTTGTGAATGATCCTTACATCCAAGGAAAGATTGCTTGCGCGAATGTGTTGAGTGATCTGTACGCCATGGGAGTTACTGAGTGTGATAATATGTTGATGTTACTTGGAGTGAGTAGTCAAATGACACTGAAGGAAAGAGAAGTTGTGACACCATTAGTGATCGAAGGATTCAATGATCTGGCATTAGAAGCTGGTACAACAGTGAACGGAGGACAGACGGTGATTAATCCATGGTTTATTACTGGTGGAGTTGCTTCCAGTGTTGTCTCCGACAACGAATTTATTATGTAAGTTTAGTACATGAAGATCAACTTTTTTTCTATGAATTGAGGCAGTAATATTAGATTACTGCTGTCGAGTGTGAACAAATATTTTGTTCTTATTCGGTCGTATTTAGGCACAGGCCGCCCAGGCTTGCGGCGAAAATAATTTCTGCTGTATTTTTTTCCAGTAAGCAAAACCATCAGTCCAATTGGAATTTTATTCAAAACTGACTGGATTTTATCATCTTTTGACTGTAAAACCATCAGGTAGCTCTAATGCTTGTCACCTTGTCTATTATTGCCTCATTTAATGGGCCATTCCTGAATTATTAAACAAGTCATGGGCGCTATTTGGATAGTGATAGAAATAGCGCCATACAAATACCGTACTATTATTATTATTTTTATATTTATGAAAGATTTTATTGACCTCTCCCCTAAGGGACTTTTCAGAGACAGTAAAATACAATAAAACTGTTAAAAAGATATAAAGGATAGAATATTTATGTTAATATTTTTGTTATGGGGAAGTGAATGGGTACTGTTTATAGCTTAGGTTGATAAAAGCCTATGGCAAGATTTCCATATAATCCCATATAATAATTACACATAGGGTGTTGCAAAGAAATTTTTATATTTTAGTCTTTATGAAATGGAATGCATAATTGATGACTGGCGTTATATGGAAATCTTTCCAAAACCTATTTCACAAATTACCTCAGGTTTTTGCCTTTAAACAAAAGTAGAAAAATTAAAGCAGATAGCACAGTAACAATGTTTTTAAAGTGAAAAGAATAAACACATTTGGTACTAATTTTTGTTCACCTAGCATGCTAATCAATTTGAGCAAGGATGGTATAAATACTGAAATTTGCAGTTCTGCAAATTGGAACCTGTAACTTACAGGAATAGAATTTGGCTCCTTCTCCTTCAATGTATTTTCATGTTTTATATAAATGGGAGATTGGAAGGGGTGTCTGTTTGAGGGGGGGTTCCTTGTTTTAAATTTGCGCTGATAGGAGGGACCTTTTTTTAATTAGTATTTGATATTTAGAAAGTTGTTTTGCAATTGTTTACCTCAATATGCCATGATTTTCTCCAACGTTTCACCAAAAAAAAAAAAATTAATAAATTTAGCTCATGTAGGTAAGCTTGCTGTTATTTTGGAAAAAAATTATTGTTTAGTAATTTAATACAATTTTGTAATTTTTCATTTTTGCTTTCTCTACCTGAAAGTAGCAAAAACTTAATCCAGTTTTCTATTTTCAGAGAGGAGTAAAGTCTCAGTAACAGTGTGTTGTAGTTACTCTAAGCCTTAAACCCCTAAATTCTCCTTGCAGTATCACCCTTGACTCAAATTTAAGAGTAATGAGAATAAGGGAAATGATCACCAATTGAAGAAGCTCATGATTGGTGAAAGAGTTCTCTTTGTCAGTACAATAGGAAATGTGAAGGGAACAGTATGGAGAATATGAACACTAATATTAGAGTGTAAAGGGTTAATTCATGTTCTTTTGAGTTGACCAAATCTGCAACCAGCTTTGAAGAATAAATCAGCCAAAAAATTGTTTATTTTTAGGCCAGAGAGTGCAGTTGCTGGTGATGTTCTAGTCCTTACAAAACCTCTTGGAACTCAGATTGCTGTCAATGCGCACCAGTGGTTGGAGGATGCTGATGTGAGTCTGTCCTTTTTCATTTATGATTTACTGAAAATTTTATTTGTGTGTATGCACAAGTGTTAGAGATGAAATGAATGATTTGGTGTATAATCAGGCTAAAAGAGTCTTCTCTAAGAAAGCTTTCTTTCATCAAGTTTTTTTGAGACTTGTTCGACTCTGAGTCAAGGTGCTTATTTGTGGTCTAACTTTGACATTTAACAACTTTGACATTTAACAGCCCAAATTTTGGGACAAGATTAAGGATGTTGTTACACCTGAAAAAGTAGAAAAAAGCTACCAGAATGCAGTGGAATCTATGTCCAGGTTGAACCGGAATGCTGCTCGCATGATGCACAAGTATGATGCACATGGCGCCACAGATGTCACTGGATTTGGAATTCTTGGACATGCAAATAATTTAGCAAAAAACCAGAAAGGAGAGGTGTCATTCAAAATACACACGCTTCCCATCTTGGCAAACATGGTGAAGATTTTTGAGGCTTGTGGTATTAATTTCAAATTACTGGATGGATTTTCAGCTGAAACATCTGGTAAGTCATTACCGAACATTAAATAGCTTTCCAATTAAACTTTGTCTCCATGATTTGCTAACAATATGTTTATAGGTTAGTGTGGTAAGCCCAAGTAAGCTTGTTAAATTGGCACTCTTTTTATAGGGGGTAAGGTGGGGAAGGTACATGTCAGGTACAGGTTTCATGAATTCTGGATAAGGCTCTGAACTCTGACTCCTAGTAAACATTTGAATGGTTGAAATGCTTCCAGACACAGGTAAAATAGTTAATTAATTAATTAAGTATTTGTCTAAGATGAACAATCATTTTTGGATAATCAATATTTTCCAACAATATTTACCAAGCCCAGTAAGATGAATCTTTGTTTTTGGGGACTTATGACAGGTGACTATTTGTTGAAAGCAACTGCATTTTCTTTGGTTAGTTGATTTATTTATTTTTATCTTATTTTGTAAACAACAAAAAATAGGGCAGCAATGTGGTTAGAGATAAATGCTTCCATCAGCGTATTATATCAGTGTGTAGGGTTATTATTTCAAGGTATACACTAGATTATGAGCAGTCCCTCCTTTTTGGCAAAGTCTGTCACAAAAGGGGAAAAAACTGTGAAAAAAAACTTGATGCAAGCATGCTGTACAGAACTCTTGGAGTGAGGCTGATTCTTTTTTACTTGTGTGATGGACTTTGAGAAAAAGGAGGGACTGCATGTAGATTAGATATAGATGTTGAAAACGTTATTTAAGGTGTTAAACAATTCTTGTTTTGATTCTAAGGTGGTCTTCTTGTTTGTCTACCACATGACAAAGCCCAGAGTTACTGTGATGAGCTTGAAGCTTTAGATGGAAAACCATCCTGGATTATTGGTGAAGTGGTGCAGGGAAACAGACAGGCCAAGTTGGAGACAGATATAAAGATTATTGAAGTCTAGGTGTTGTTTGTTAGTGACACTAAATTAAAAATAAATTGATTGTGTATGGGGCTTAAGATTAAGTGTTTTGGATCAGAATATTTGCATGGGCTATAATGCCTAACTCTCTGCCTTGATGTCCTGTTATTCAAAGAAATGTGGTTTTGTAATTTTTTAATGAATTCAAGTTGTTCGATTTGATTTTTTGAAAAACAGATGCTATCCTTGATATCATATGAGGTTCTTTGGGTAAAAAGTGACTCCTGAAGAATGGATGCTTCAGATATCATGGGAGGTGTACAACAAAAATAATAATAAACAAAATTATGGTTTCTGTGCTAAGCCAATTGCATGATATTTGCTGGGCTCAAATTTCCTAAGTCACTGTCTTGAATGGTTCATATTTGTGGTAACAATATAAGCTTGGCTCTCTATTTCTTCAGTGAATACATGGTGTTTAATTTGTATTTGATAATTAAAGTGCTATCATTGCTGTCATGTATGAAGCTTTTGAGGTAAACGTTGTAACCTAAAAAGCTGATGTTATAGATATGATGTGAGGCCAGCATGTTATTTAAAGAGCTTGATGAGAGTTCCAATGAAAGTCACATTAATATTTTGACCCATTAAAAACAGTGCAATAGAATATTTGCTGTGTACTTGTGTCAACTGCCATTTTTGAGTTAACTCTATGTTAGCATAAACAGTGGTATGTCGCTGGCACCAATCAGATTGCTGTATAAGGGTATTATCACGTACCAATCAGAATGCTGCATTAGGGTATGTGTCTTGCACCACTCAAATCATAGAATTGGGGCATGTTTGTACCAATCAGAACATCAGGGTACTGTCCCTCAGATCAATCAGGTCATAAAATTAGTGTGTCACAAAGCGTTGCTATGGAACCAACCCAATATTGATGCACATTAAGAACAAATAATTGTGAGCTCATCTACCCAGTGCAATGGTTTGTATTCCTGGTGAGGATTTCATTGCTACGATCTGCTGGGGTTAGAAAGGTCAGCAGGTAATTTTTTTTCACCATTTAAAAGTTAAAGCATGTTTTGTGTACTGCTCCTTCACTTCAACACTTGCACCAACAACCAAAGGTCTAACACAGTTATCTTTGGAGCATTTGTGTCATTTCCTTGCAAACAAGCAGGATTTTGTCATTTATTCCACATGGCAAAAGCCCACCCTCCCCTCCTCCCTCATCATTATGTCCAAGTGAAAGCCTTTGAAATATTATTCTTTTCTCCTTGTTCAATGTATTTTCAGTTTTGCAAGAAACGGAGACTGCAAATTTTTTTTGGTGAAGGTCTCCGACCCCACAAGCTGTTCAGCTTTAAACATTATCATGTCTAAATAAAGGTGTTATTATTATTATTATAAAATGGAGTTCTGGTTTGCATTCATAGCAAGGAAGTGACTCATAGTGTTTTAGTAGTTTTAATTTAAAGTAGGATCAGGAGCATCACCCTTTTGTAAGCACTCTAATACATAATTTCCTGGAGGCCACACCTATTTTCAGAGCTACCAGGCTAGAGACCAAAATACCACTTGTTATTATTCACCTGACCATTCACTTGCCTGAAGTGAATTTTATATACAGTATACACTTCCTGGTTGAATAACCTTTAAAATTTAAAAGGAAAACTACTAGAGTCTTGAACACAATTATCCTTTGATAGTGCTACCTGGTCTGAATGAAAAAAAAGTACAATGGTACAAGGTAGTATCACATTTGCACAACAGTATACAAGAAAGTCAGGCATGAGTAAGGGGCATTTTAGAGATAAGAGGCTTATTTGAAACTTGAATTTCTACCTGATGTGGAAAATTGGGGCATTTAGGGTTTGTTGGTGTTTTGTTTAGCAAATAGGCATTGCCTTTTGATGACTGATTTATTTGATTACAATACTCATGATTGACATTAATTCTGTACAGTGATATAAAAGTGTTAGCTTATCATATTTTAAACATCAATGACAGAGAGATCAGTTTTTATAGTCTTTGCTTACCTGAATCTGCTAACCTCAAGAGAGAAACCTGTTTTTACGACACACCACTGAAGTAGGTTTCTAATAATTTTTTAATTTTGCTACGAGATTTCATTTGCGTTTTTCTGAATTACAATTACAAATGTATTTCTCTTCGATCAAATTATTATTAAAGCTTGGATTAATATTAAATGGGTTGTGGTGGTCATCTGAGCTGACCAGTTCGGAGTAAGGAAACAGTTGGTATTAACTGATAAACATGTGGTAATATGATTTTTGTTCCTCGTCAGCTATCTGCAATTTCAATGAACAGTTTTACATCATTCACTGCTATTCTGTATGAAAGTGACATTCAGCACTGAAAGGGGGACTGCAGGTGCAAAGAGCTATTTTGTAGATCTACTGTGAAAATTGGATTTTGTAGTGAATTTGCCGACCCAATTTGCTCAAGATTGAAGCCACAAAGCAAATACTTGAATTGCACTAAAGTAGGTCATTTCTACACCACCCCTGAAGGTAAAGACAGTTAACATAATGAGGATTTATGATATGAACAGAATGGATTTTACCTATTCACTATTGGGAGAATCACCTCTCAACTGGTGCTTTCTTTTCTGGCGATTCCCAATTACATCTTGTTTCCTCATTTGTTTAAAAAATATTGGCAAAGCTCTCTAAAAACTTCATGCCACTCTAATGAAAAATCACTTGACACTTAATGAAAGAATATGATATAAAAGAGGAAGAGATACCAGTAGTAAGCACTCAAAATCTAAGATTATCAAAATGGCTTGGAGTGAGCCCATAAGTAAACAGGTAGGGTCACCTTTTTGTGTCAGTGAAGGTGGCTTACTGTATTTTGCGAAACGAAACGAAACGAAATGAAACGAAACGAAACGAAACGAGTAAACCCGTACTGTATTTTGCGAAACCAGCTCTTCGAAGACTCTAGCGATATATAACTTATTTCTTCCGATTCGTAAACACAATTCGTAGATACAACTCGATGCAGTGATGATTTATAAATAAAGACTTTGAGCCAAAAGGTCAGAAGTGCGCCGTTTCGCAAATTACAGATATGTAAATCTGTAATTTGCGAAACGAGCTCTTTGAAGACTCTAATGATATGTAACTTATTTCTTCCGATTCTATAACACTTTTCGTAGATACAACTCGATGCAGTGATGATTTTTTAATAAAGAGTTTG